TTCGAAACCAGTTTTTCATTTTTACTTTTGATATATATATATATATATATATATATGCATACATACATATATATATATGTATATACATATGTATGTACGTTTTTATATATATATATATATATATACACAAAATAATACATAACAATTTCATTTAAGCGCATTCACACAAATGTAACGAAATACATGCATATACATATATCTCTCCAACTTCACGTGAAGATTATTTGTCGGAGACCATCTCCTCCCGAAATAACATGTGAGAGTTTGAATTAGGTTACATTGTAGCGAGAGACAGGAGAAGTGTCTATCCTGTTTTTTTTTTTTGTCCATATGCAAGGAAAAATTGCCGCCGCTTGAATTTGAACTCGGTACCCTAATTTTATTTTATTCCCTACAAATATTTTTTATGCCAACTGCTTTGGCGAGCTTTTTTCCCTGATGCCCGGATTACGTGAGTTTAAGTGTTATATATATCTACGCCTCGAAATATGGACATTCATATATATATATATATATATATATATATATATATATATATATATATATATATATATATATATATATGGATAATCACATGTTGTTTTTTTTATATATGATCACAATTATTTTCATTATATTAATAGAGTAAAAGTGCTCAATATCTGAGATATAGAATGAATAAAATATAAACCTATATATATAAATATATATATATATATATATATATATATATATATATATATATATATATATATATTGAAATAAAAAACAGACCACTTTAAGGTTCCATGCAATAAATTATTTCACCACACCCCTTTTAAAGGGCTCTGCATCATCAGACTTTATTTCCAAAGGTTGAAATGAAAAGAAATTTACACATTTTTGACGGGCCGTATATATATATATATATATATATATATATATATATATATATATATATATATATATATATATATATGTATGATGTGTCACAACGACTGTCGTGATGCGTCTAGTGTGGTGGCCTCTAGTGGTAGTGCTTGTCGCTTCTCCCTTTCAGTTACCGCCACTGGCTAGTAGTAATGTGAAAAGGGGGGTGGAGTGCGTAAATCTTCTCCTGCCAGTATATAGCCTCTCCATCAGCAAGACCTATTTAGTGCCTCCTCGTGTCAACTCATGGCAACCGAGCACCTTGCGGACTCGGGCTAAACTACAGGGGATGGGGGAGGAGTTTGGCCCCCCTTAATATGCGGCATGCAGGCCCACCGATGTGTGTACACGCCCTGGTGCCCACGAATCAAACCCCAGGTATGGGTTAAATTGCTACATTGCCTTGTGGAAATCTTCGGGAGAAGAAAAGGCTTCAGAGTAAACCCTACACAAACCCGAGGGTGGGGCTCCTAAGGCAGATGGACGGCACTCTGTTCTACCTTCCGGCAACTCCTGGTATTCGTTCATCCTCTTCTTTGGACTCTGCTAGCAAGGCCAAGAGGGGGAACTAGACGTCTGGGCAGCTCTAGTTCTCCATATATCCCGCCCGGGCTCGTAGCGCAAAGACGGAGGAAAAAACTTTTTCCACTTTGTCATACATCTCCCCAATATATATATATATATATATATATATATATATATATATATATAAACGTACATATATATATATATATATATATATGCATATATATATATATTTATATATATAGCCAACAACGAAATTATTCGTACACCCATCAATTTTGAATATTTTTATATATTTCTCAGAATGTAATGCCCGTATGATGCCAGGTTTTTTATATGTTAATAAGCACAAAAACGGAATAAAAGACTCAATTTTCAGAACAATCGGTTAAATACAACAAATTTGACAGGCGAATTATTCAGAATAGGAAGAGACAAAATTATTTGAAGTTTTTTTTTGCCATAGATTTTCAATAGGATTCATGTCAGGACTTATTGAAGCCCATGCCAGAAGTATAATCTTCTTTTTCTGAAGCCACAATGTCACTGATTTAGAAATATGTTTAGGATCATTGTCTTGCTGGAAAGTAGATTGCCGACCTAGATGAAGATTTTGCGCTGGTAGTTGTAGATTTTCATCCATAATTTTAATATAGTCTGCACATTTCAATATTCTTCTAATTGCAATTAATTGTTCAGTTCCCCTTGACCTAAAACAATCCCAAAACATCATGAAGTCGCTTTCATATTTTAATGTTGTGTCATGGGTCTTTACCTATAACTACAGAATGAACTCTTCCTAACACTATGTATACTACGCCTCTCAAGAGAGAGGGACGAATCAAGCCGATCTTTTCGACTTGATTCTCGACTTTTCAGCAGAAAGGAACCCGGACGAGGTTCCGCCGAAGGGCAGAATCTCGTTCGGGGTGAATGACCTACCTGATCTCGTTTTACGAGTTTTGAGCCTACGGGCTCAGGAAACCCACGATAAAAATGACCTTGTGGACGCAACCCTCGTGGGGGTTGAATCAAGCCGATCTTTTCGACTTGATGGTCGAACTCTCTGCTTTTCAGCAGAAAGGAACCCGGACGAGGTTCCGCCGAAGGGCAGAATCTCGTTCGGGGTGAATGACCTACCCTGATCTCGTTTTTTACGAGTTATACGGGCATATTTTTGGCTGAGCCTACGGGCTCAGGAAACCCACGATAAAAAAAATGCAACCCTCGGGGGGTGGCTAGATACTGAATCAAGCCGATCTTTTCGACTTGATGGTCGGCTTTTCAGCAGAAAGGAACCCGGACGAGGTTCCGCCGAAGGGCAGAATCTCGTTCGGGGTGAATGACCTACCCTGATCTCGTTTTTACGAGTTAATCATATTTTTGGCTGAGCCTACGGGCTCAGGAACCCACGATAAAAATGACCTTGTGTCGCATGCAACCCCTCGTGGCGGGGTGGCTAGATACTGAGCCGGTCGACTTGACGGTCGAACTCTCTGCTTTTGAGCAGAAAGGGAACCCGGACGAGGTTCCGCCGAAGGGCAGAATCTCGTTCGGGGTGAATGAACCCTGATCTCGTTTTTTACGAGTCATACGGGCATATTTTGGCTGAGCCTACGGGCTCAGGAAACCCACGATAAAAATGACCTTGTGTCGCATGCAACCCTCGTGGGGGTGGCTGATACCGAATCAAGCCGAGCTCGACTTGACGGTCGAACTTTCTGCCTCTGAGAAAGGAACTCGGACGAGGCTCCGCCGAAGGGCAGAATCTCGTTCGGGGAGAAATGACCCACCCGATCTCGTTTATACGGGTTATACGGGCATTTTTTTGGCTGAGCCTACGGGCTCGGGAAACCCACGATAAACTCGGCCTTGTGCCACATGCAACCCTCGTGGGGGGGGCTGGATACCGAATCAAGCCGAGCTTCTCGGCTTGACGGTCGAACTCTCTTGCCTCTGAGCAGAGAGGAACCTGGACGAGGCTCCGCCGAAGGGCAGAGTCTCGTTCGGGGTGGTTGACCAACCCGATTCCATTTATAGGGGTTCTACGGCCATTTTTTGGACGAGCCTACGAGCTCGGGGAACCCTCGTTAAACTCGGCCTTGTGCCAAATCTTTACCTTGTGGGGGGGGGAGTAAATATCGAATCGAGTCGAGCCGATAGTAGTTCACTCCAAACCAGTCTGACAGTCATACTAACACCTTCCACATCTTGTATTATTATTTCGTGTAATATACCTTCGTTATTTCTACTCTTGTGTTTGTGTTGTTCTTCCTTGGACCTAACCTGGACCATAACATGTTGCCATTCTGTTCTTTGGGGAGAAAGTCTCACTTTTCTTGCGCCAAATCTTCTTTACATCATTATTTCCAAAAAGCTCAATTTTTGTTTCCTCACTCCATAGTACTCGTTTCTTTGTCCAAGAACATTTTGGCAAAATTAAACTGAGCAACAATGTCACGTGGTTTATGAAGATGGCTTCGTTTTGATCGGTTTCCATAAAACTCATTTCTATTTAAAAACGTTGTATTGTGCGAATACTTACGCTGATACCCATCATATCCAGACTTTTGGCGATGTCTTTCAAAACAATTCTCGGGTTTATATTAACTTCGCGGCACAGTTATCATTCAGTTCTCTGTGACAATTTGGGTTTTCTTCCACGCTCAGGCAAATTCTCTGTCGTGCCGTACTGTTTAAACTTCTTTATATTGGACTACTGTAGATCTAGGGGTAGCTAACCGGTTTGAAATAGTGCTGTAACTGTTTTCCGACTTGTGGAAGTTAATAATTCTCTGTTTCAAGTCAACACTAAGCTCCTTTGTCTTCCGCATCGTGTTGATAACGCAAGAATAACAATGGTAATACTCTATACACTACGTGAGTTTCTTTGCTAAATCACTAAACTAATTGGGTTTGTTTTGTCCAGGTTTTCAGATAAGACGTTTAGTCATCTTGGCACCATTTGTCGTAAGAATCTCTTTAAAAACCCTTTGAGTTATTCAGTTAGAATTCTAACAGGTTAAAATCGTTTTGCGTTAGCCCCCACTGTCTTCCTAACTGAGCAAGAGAAAAAAATATCCTTCAGGCCTTCAGTAATGGTGCCAACATTCATACTCTGGCTTCCATCTTCAAAGACCATTCAAGAACCACCAAGAGAACGGTGAATAAGTTTTAAAAAGAGGGAACAGTTAAAAGGAAAACTGGATCAGGCAGTCACAACAAGAATAAGGATCATCATTTCAGCTGAGAGATAAATACATTCTTATTGCTTAGGGTAGAGTCCAATAGTGTTATAAAAACCTCGGATAATTCCAGTAAGATATCTTTAATCATTTCTAAGATACAACAGTTCAAAGCTTAATCTGAAAATTTTGCTGTTACACGATTTGTACAATTTTGCTGATACACCCGGTATATATATATATATATATATATATATATATATATATATATATATATATATGTGTGTGTGTGTGTGTGTGTGTGTGTGTGTGTGTGTGTGTGCATAGGTTCATGTATGTACATGCTTTCACATGTGATGACGCACCTGATCCTGATAACCGTGACGAGAATAGTAATTTTTGTTAATGGCGGAATGTAAGTGGTTGGATATCTGCGCATGCGTCAAGGAAAAGAGGAGGAAAATGGAGATGCCAGGTAAGATAAGAAAAGAGGGAAAACAATCGTATAATGGTGGATTGAAAAAGGAAGGGAAAAATTGGAAGATGAAGGAAAAGGACGAAAATGAAAAAAAAGGTATAAGAGTGGAAATATGAAGATGCAGGATTTAACAGAAAGAGAGAGAAAGAGAGAGAGAAAGAGAGAGAAAGAGAGAGAGAGAGAGATAACGAAGATATGCAGCTATACTTGAAAGTAAAAGAGAAAGAAAGGAGGAGGGGAAAGAAGAAGAAAAATAATTTATGGAGAGAAGAAGAAGAAGAAGAAGAAGAAGAAGAAGAAGAAGAAGAAGAAGAAGAAGAGGAAAAGAAGATGATGATTACATGGAAAGAAAAATATAAGGAAGAAGAGGAGGAGGGGAAAGAAGAAGAAAAATAATTTATGGAGAGAAGAAGAAGAAGAAGAAGAAGAAGAAGAAGAAGAAGAAGAAGAAGAAGAAGAAGAAAGGGTAAGAAAATATAAGGAAGAAGAAGAGGTGTAGGGGGAAGGAGAAGACTATGTGTAATGAAGGTGAAACAAGAGAGGCAGAAGGACACACGGGTCACTGAGGCGTAAAACAGAATGCCGAAAATTAATTCAAATTCGTGCTGAATGAAAAAGACGATGAAAAAGACAATGTGCGATGAAGAATCTAATGAAGAAAAAGAAGCCCAAGAAAAAAAGAAAGAAAGAAAGAAAGAAAAATTGAAAGAAATATAACGCTGCTGGACAGAAGAAGAAGATTAAAGGGAAAGAAAAATAAAAAGAAGATGACGAGGAAATAGAGGAGGAGGAAGAGAAAGACGAAGAAAAAGAAGAAGAAAAGAAGACAATGTGTAATGAAGAGGTTTATTGGCGCGTAAAACAGAATGGCGAGGATTAATTCAGATTTTTGTTGAATGAAGAAGACGATGTGCAATGAAGAATTTAACAAAGAGAAAGAAGACCATGAAAGAAAGAAAGAAAGAAAAAAGAAAGAAAGAAAGAAAAAATGAACATGGAAGAAATACAACAGTGCTGAACTGAAGAAGAAGATTACATGGAAAAAGAAATAAAAAGAAGATGAGAAGGAAAAGGAGTAGGAGGAGGAGACGGAGAAGGAGGAAGAAGAAGAAGAAGAAGAAGAAGAAGAAGAAGAAGAAGACCATATGTAATGAAGATGATTATTAACGCTTAAACCAAAATGGCCGACATTAATTCAAATTCATGGTGAATGAAGATGATATATAACAAAGCATTTAACGAAGACTATGCAAAAGAAAGAAAGAAGAAAGAAAGGAAAAGAAATGAAGGAAAAAGTGGAAGAAGACGACCAAAATAAAAGCGAAGAAGAGAGCCATGCTGAAAGAAGAATTTAAGGGACACGTGAAAATAAGAATTTAAAGAAGAAAAAAGAAAGAAAGAAAAAAATGTTACACTGACAGATACAGTAAAAAAGAACAAAATGCGTGTCGGGTTAAGTGTGCCCTAAAAGATAGCCGTGTCGGTTGAAGTGAAGGAGCAGGTCCCCCCACCACCACCACCACCCCCAAAAAAGAGAGAGAAAAATGAAAGTGAATAAAGGAGAAGACAACGACGAAGCAAAAAGATAAAAAGAAAATAAATGAAGCAAGGAACGAAAGAAGCCGAACACATCTGGTATCGAAATCAGAACACGTTTAACACTTTCCCCTTACTCGCCAGCACCCTAACCACCTTGTTGTTTACATGCAGCCATTCTCCCTTACGCCAAAACCCACCACCCAGTTTTGCACCTACCTATAACCCTAGTTGATGGGTGGACACATGTCTATGGAAAATCTTGTGGGCATTTCGTCAGCATTCGTTAATAGAGTGATGTTGGCTAGGGTTGTGTTCATCTTCGCTAAGGGTTCAGACACTGTTCCCCACCCATCTTTCTCTCTTTCTGCCTATCGCCACCCCCACAAACTCATGATCGTACGCGGATGAAGATAATGTAAATATCTCAAATTGATAAACACTATTTTACATTTTATATAATATTTTATTATGCAAGTCAATGTCTTCAGAATAAAATCGTTATTAAACAACTGATGTTGGAAAATTTTTCAATATATATTCATATATAATATAATAGAGTATAATTTTCTACTGGACATAAAGAGAGGGATCGATTTTATGTTATTAATATGTAATAGACTGATCCCCCTAGAATTAATACATAATGCCATATATCATTAAGCAAGTCAAAATAAAATTGGTATCAACCAACTGATGGTGGGGAATACTTTCAAGATATATCTTTATTTCAATAAACGTCTGTGAACGTTACTTGTGTGTTTGCCAGAAGTCATATATAGAGAGTGGGTGAAAGAAAGATATAAATTTATTATCGTGTAGGGAGAGAAGGAAATGGAGAAAAAAACTCCCCATCTTTCCACCTTCCCGTGATTGCGTGCGTGCTTATTTATATTACAGCTTTCTTTAAACAAACAATATTTTAAATATTTTTATTTCAACTTTCATCAAACAGACAATTTTTTTTAATGTTGAAAGCAACTTCAATAACTGCAAATAAATGTACAAACTCTTCATGAAACTAACTGTAAACAGTAACACGAGGTTGGCCCAACGGGTCACGGGTGGTCTAATTTAACATTAAATATTAGTATAAGTTTCTACCGGGCATAAAGTGAGGGATTGATTTTCTGAAATTAATGAGTAATAAACTGATCTCCCACTAGAATTCTTACATAATGTCATATTTTATTGATGTTGGGAAATTTTTCAAGATATATTTAACATTAATAAGTAATATACGTTTTCTTCTGGGCATAAAGTGAGGGGTCGATTTTCTGTTATTAATGAGTAATAAACTGATCCCTAGAATTATTATATTTCGGTTTTGAAAAGTAAAATTGAATATGGGAGCATGTTTGAGGATGTAGTGGATAGAAGATTTGTCGGCTTGTAATTTTAAATCAGATCATCTAGTAAAACAGAACGAGTTAACTCGTTTAGTCTTAAAATTCGTTTTATATACAAACGCTTACAGTATGATTGGCCTTTGTTTTCGTTATTACCGAATTTTCTTGTGTATTATACTAGGTATCTCAACTAATTCGGGATACCTACGGTTTAAAATGAATTTTTAAAAATAAAAAACCTTTCATTTTAGCTTTAATTGAAAGCTAAAGGATTGAATTTACTATTTCCAGTAAGCAAAATACTCTAGAAATTATACTGATCGGAATCGAATTTTGTTTTCTAAAACAGCTTTTTTCAGTCATCTTTCATCGCATATTTCTCTTTACTAAAAAATCTTCCAAAAATAAAATATACTTTTCTGGAACATTATTTAAGGAATATTAGCTAATTTAAAATATAATTAATATGATTTGAAACAAATATTATTTACTTTAAATTTAAAATACCACAGAAATGTATTTTTAAAACGAACAGTAGCTGTATTTTTAACCGACAGTCGCCATGTTTTACGTGATTGACGAATGTTGACAGTCGATGACATATTGATTGTTGTTCCAAGGAGACTTTATCTGTAAAACATAATTTACCTGGCACAGGGTTCCGTCCCTGGGCTGGTGGTATCACGGCTACGACTAGCTTGGACCAGCTCTGACCAGTTTGGACCAGCTATGACAATCCAAGACCAGCTATGACTAGCTTAGACTAGCTCTAACCAGCTTGGACAAGCTATGACCAGCTAAGACCAGCTTAGACCAGCGGCCCGAGTGAAAACACTTGAGTCCCCACTTTAAAAACTGACTATGTGTCACAACCTGACTCAGTGGGGGGTCAAGTAAATATCCATAATTTAATAAAATGATGTGAGTGCCTATTTTATATAATTATTAAGTACCCAATAATCTTAAAAATGTTGGAAAATATTCTCCGTAATTTAATTTTAGAAATGTTGACTTTAAATTTACTATAGTCATCACTCTTATTTTCTGATAATGTCGTGTATGGTCAACCATACTTTTAAAAAATGGGCACGTTACATAATATTTTATATACATTAAAATTATCTTAAAAAACATGGTGCAAAATGATTTGTATTAAGCTTTTCAAATTTTGATTAGTAAATATAGTTTTCATTTAATAACAATATCACCTAACATAAACAAAATCTGCCAGCTCTGAACATGCGGTTGTCTCCGAGACGACATTAAGGTCGTCGTTGAGGCTGGGGACAACTTTATTTATAATGTCCCTCCCACGCAGAGAGCCTTCGTAGAACTGACGTTTAAAACACTGGTTCTGAAAAAGTAGATGTGGTGATTTTTAAAATCTTTGAAGGCAAATTTGGTTTCAAATTCCATTACTCTACAAACCTTCAAAGCATTAATGATAGAATTAATCAAACTGAAAGAAAGAAAAAACTATTATCGACGTTTCATGTTTACGAAGCTAATGTTTACATGTCAGATCCTCCATAGTAAAAATCGTCAATTGTTTAAAATACTGAAAGAGAGTGTGATTGAACAAGTGAGTACGATAAATAAAAAGAAAAAGTTATCTTTCTCATGAAATTGCTTGAAAGAAAGAAAGAAAGAAACAAAGAAAGAAAGAAAGAAATGATGGAAATCTGCAAAGAAACAAATAAAGAAGTTATAAAAATCATTAGAAAGAAAGAAAGAAAGAAAGAATTATGGAAATCTGCAAAGAAACAAATAAAGAAGTTATAAAAATCATTAGAAAGAAAGAAAGAAAGAAAGAAAGAAAGAAAGAAAGAAAGAAAGAAAGAAAGAAAGAAAGAAATGATGGAAATCTGTAGAGAAAGAAACAAATAAAAAGTTATAAAAATCATTAGGGACAAAGAAAGAAAGAAAGAAAGAAAGAAAGAAAGAAATTATTATGGACGTTTTCTGTTTCTGAAGGTGATGTGTACAAGTATGATCTTCCTTAGTAAAAATCGTTAATGGTCTCAAATACTGGAAATGTTACATTGAACAAAAGTTTCAAAATTTCTTCAAATGATCTTTATTAGATATGTGAGTGAACAAGTGAATACGAAAAAGAAATAAACGTTATCTTTCTCATGTCATAAAACTAGGTGTGCCGTTCAAAATGCCAGTGGGGCCGTGTGTGACCACGGGCCACAGTTTGCCCATGACACATCTAAGTATCCTGTCTCGATTTTTTTTTTAAATTCCTTTCCTTATAAAAATGATCTGTGAAATAGTTTTTCCTTCTGTTCTGTTCTTTGGTCTTTAAGAGAAGCAAAACATTTAAAGCATTTCCTTATTGATATTATCCAGGAATTTATGCAGACTTGAGAGATAATCAGTTATTTGGTACATGTTCGCCTCCGTAGCTCAGAGGTTTAGAGCACTGGTCTCGTAAACCAGGGGTCGTGAGTTCGAATCTCATTGGAGGCATTTGGTTTTTCACAATACCATCACTTTTTATTACCACCTTCCAATGCTGAGAATATACAAAGATTTAGGTACTCTTAAACTCCTTAACAAGCTGAAGACCCAATCAAGATCCACCCGCAGGTTCTAGCTTAAATGCCGACCGATAGGCGGCTTTTAAGCTAGTTATTAAAATATATCCATCAACTATAAGGAATTCCTTATTATTCGTCATTTTATAAAGTTCAAATCGATTGGCAATTAGTCGACTTACCATTTAAGCGTTTCATCCGTTTTGCAACACGTGGCCTTGCGTTGACATGTTGCAAAACCTCTTTATCCTGTCTCTGCTCGTATAGCGACAGTTTTTTTCTTCAATGCTCGGCTCAAACGCATCAATTGTAGTCGATAGCGATCTCCCGTGATGTTTTCGGTCGGTTTGAACAGCTCATATTGATCTCACCAAATGCAGAGCAGAAACTTCGAACCATTGATATTCCTCTTTGCCGCCGATTTTGATGCATGACCGGACTTACCCTACGTTCTTCTACGCTTAGGGTTATCGTAGTGTATCCACTTTTCATCGCCGGTGCTCGATACACTGCAAAAATACTTTTTTTCTGCCGTTCAAGCAGCTGACAAGATGCTATTCGACGTCTCTTGACATCAACTCGTACGACATCCAATGTCCTTGCTTTTGGATCATTCTTAATGCTTTCAAACTTGTCTAAACTGTTGTGTGATCAACGCCTAAGGATACTGCAAGTTCAGCTTGCACAAGACATGTGTCTTCATGAAGTAATGCGTCCAATTCTTCGTCTTCAAACTGTTTTGGTGCGCCAGAGCGTTCTTTTTCTTCAACATCAAAATCATTATTTTTGAAGCGTCTAAACCAATCTCCGCATGTTGTTTCTGACAGAGCATGGTCGCCGGAAGTCTCAACAAGAATTCAGTTCGCTTCGGGTGCAGATTTCTTTTGAATAAAGTAGCGCGGGAAAATTCCCCGCAAATACACTTTCTTTTGCACGAAATCCGACATGTTTAACGCTATGAAAAAACAAAGTTGTTTACACTTCGGCGAAATGACATACACTGAATTTTAAGCTTGCTTATAGTACTTCCTTATAGATGGGTTCTGGGAACGCTATCTGTTGGAAAACAGCGAGAACTTATACAAGGTCCTAACATAAATATTTTCATGGTAATTGTTCGGATGGGATCTTCGCTGTAGTTTGTTTGTAAATACGCATTGGGGTCAGATTTTAAATTGTTGTTTCATTTCCCTCTCCCTACATCAATAAATTGTACATATGGGGTCTAGTTAGAACTTCACAGAGACAATGAGGTATTATGGTGAATGTTGTAAGAATGGTAAGTAAGAATGCGTTATTTTGGTGTTAGGAATATTGGGGTATGTTTGGGTCAGTAATTGTGGTTAGCTATCCTTTTCCCACATTCCCCATTTTGGCCTTGTGCCACACTTTTTTCAAAATACTGCAGAATAATCGCTCTTCGCTATGGTAGCTAGATTTTTTTTAAATTTAAGCGCAGTGCTTGACTGACATTGAGATTTCACCAATTTAGAGTTGAACGTAAGTTCTATGCGAACAGTTTCTTTTTTCGCACTTCTTGCTTGTGGAACTACTTTTCGGCTCCATGCTTTCTAGACAACTTCAATCTGCAAAAATTTAAATGCAATGTCAATCGCTATCGATTGTTCTCCTGGTTACTCATTCCTCTCATAATTAATGTATATGTTTCTAATTCTTCCACACCCACTTGTGTCTTGGTGGCTTTACTGCTTTACATAGGGTGATACCGACTAAAAATAAAATAAAAATAAAGATAAAAAAAAGTATGCGTATTTGAAGAATGAGTCAATTAGGTACAGAAGAAAAAAAAAATACTTAATCAAGAAATATAAATTAGTTCGTATCAGCACTTGATGGATCGTCGGTGTGTGAAGATGAAAGGTCTGATTAGGCAATCACCTAATTAGAGACACCTGCGGGGTCGTTGAGGACGTGAATGAGTCTGTTAGCGGATATGGACCAAAAGGCTCGGTCTTCTGGCAAACAATTACCAATTCTAACAGGCTTAATTGCCTGTGCTGAACGCTCGTTAGCTGACAGTTGTAAAATTTCCTCAGCTCTCTCTTTCTCTCTCTCTAAAAAATACCGTGTCTCTTCAGAACGATCGTGGCTCTTCACAGGTTCCTCTTTATTGTTTGTGAATTGCCACGCGTTCTTGGGGAATAACAGTGGAGTATTTTTCTCGCTCTTCGGTACTCAGTTCTACTTTCTCTCGCGCAAGGGTTCAGTCTACCCAGCCATTTAATCCACAGCCCAGGCAGAGAAAAGATAGCTATCACCCTTCAACGGCAAAAAGAGAAAAAAAATTATTTTGAAGATAGGAACAATTTCTCACATCTCCATGGGTGGTGTCGACGCGTTATGGGAAACATCACGTAGTCCTGGGTATGACGATAAACTACATCCGGCAGCAAGGCCTCTGATCGGGAGATTGGAGCTTTTGAGGAACGTGCAACCACCTCTTAACTGCTGTCTTTCCCTGGTCCACCCTGACCCCTGATGAAAGCACTTTGTAGGTACTCAGCTATGGGCAAATAGGGAATTCTTAAATAGAAACAAAAAATACTATAATAGTATAAAAATACCAACAATACATTTTTATATAAAAAAACAAACTTACCAACAATCCATTTTATAGTAAAATGACTGGCAATACATTTTATCTCTAGTTGAAGGCATACAATTGCGTTCAAAATATATTTAGTTGAAGCCATAAAATTGAGTTCAAAATTTTTAGATTTCGGCATTAAATAACCCATAGAGGTGTTGATATACCACTAAAAATCAAAATCAACAGACATCACAAGCCCATACTATTATTAACAGGCATTCGTATGTGAGTCCGTATATTCCACCAATGACTAATGATTTGGTAACATGGGGGTTCAGTTTATAACTTAAGCACAATAGAATACTGATCCATCACATTATGTCCGTTAGAATCATATTAATAATACCTTATATCAGTACCATTTAATCTTGAGGAGGCATGGTGGAGTATTGGATAGTGGCTCGGATTGTGGAATAGGAGAGCCGAGTTCGAATCCCAGTCGAGACCATTACATTCAATACCTTGGGAAAGGTATGAATCCTCTTCTTTCCCACCAGCTATGGGCAAATAGCAGGACAGACCGGGTTCTATAGCCTTTGATCGTAACTGGTCTAGGTGAAGGACAATTCTGAATTCTGCGGAGGGTCTTTTGGGGACCTTGTAGCACATAGTGCACCAGGTCTCTGTATTCGACCCTTCACAATGTGATGGTGTCTGGGCTGTCGGTTCCTAGGAACTGAGCTGCTTGACCCTCAGACGTCGAATAGGACGGGAGTGTCTGCCATATCAGTACCATAAAGAATGACAGTGTGATCAAAAAGTATCAGGACATTTGCTATGGTTACCGTAGAGCGAAGGAGCTTGGCGCAAAGTGACCTTGAACTCTGGCGCGCATGCACACGAAGTTATAATGTTCTCGCTAGGTCCTGTTGTTTATAGAAGGGCTTGGAAGTACTTTCCATCAGCGACCATGGCTTATGAAGCAGTTTTCAGCTTAGCTCAACATTCCCATGCTCCGACATAGGCGGGTCACGTATCCAGAATGCGTTCGACACGACTCACACGTATCATCCTGTTTGGAGAACTCGCCGGCAGCAAGAGGCTACACGGAGGCCCAAAACAATGCTTCAAGAATCAGATGAAAACATCCCCGACACAGGCCACTTACATCTGGGAAAAACGGAGCCGCAAATCGGCCTTCCTAAGCCGGAGGGTGGACAGAGACTTTCGAGTGCAACCGTCAATATGAAGAAAATCTGCGACGAGCTGTCAGGAAGGCCCGACTCGTCCATCACCCATAGTCATCCGTAACTCCTGCTCACGACTCTCCTGGGCCTTCACAGCCCTGTCCATCGCCGCCACAAGATGAGAGAGAAGGATGAGAGAGGATGACAGTCCCGATGCTCGGATGCGAGCGGGGGCCGACAACGACGACGATATTACCCAGATCGTTTCTCTTGCGACTTCTTTCGCTTTCCAAGAATCAAATCACACTTGAAAAGAACAAGGATTTCATGACGTTGTGGAAATCCAAGAAAAGGCGACGAGGCAACTACTCTCCACGCCACCCCCTCCCACCCAAAAGGAATTCCGTGAATGCTTCCATCAATGAAAACGACGCTGGATAAAGTGTGTGGCTTCAGAAGGATGCTACTTCGATGGAGATTAAATGCCGAATATACATTATTTACATTATTCGGACTATTGTCCTCATCTTTGTCGCCAGATTTATTACAACGTTTCGGCACTTCAGTATCTTAATTATTATAAAACGCAGATTGTGTGTGTGTGTGTGTGTGTGTGTGTGTGT